CAAACCCCGAGTACCAAACCACGAACGCCAGGCACCGAGTACCGAACACCGAGCACCAAGCACCAAGCACCGAACTCCAAATACCGAGCACTGAACTCCGAGTACCGAGTACCAAGCACCGAGTACCAAGCACCGAAAACCGGGCAGCGAGTACTGGGTAGGTAGAGTATACAAGTACCAAGGACTACCTACTAAGTAGGTACAGTATACAAGTACCAAGTATTAAGTACTTAGCAGGTAAAGTATACTGCAATGTGTCTACTATCAGACATTGATCAATATTTACATGTTACTTGAGTCCTCAAAGGCCTCAATGATGGTATCTAATACCTTCAGCATTTCGGAGGTTGACTCCCTTACCCTTTGCATCCTCCGGAGGTCAGCATCTGCTTTCTGCAGCTTGTCAGATGTTTCAGCCCATGCCATCCTGAATGGTCTGTCAGCCTCAAGAATTTGTGCTACTGTAGGGGCAGGAAGATCTTCATGACGCTGTTGGTAATCACCCAGGCGATCTACAATTGATTGAACTTGCAGGATATTAGCAGAGATAAATAATCAAATGTTGCATACTTACCTTCAGCTTGATCATAAGATCCGATTGGCATGAACTCCTGAACCATGGCACGCAGTGCTTCATTGTTGAGTTCCGGCTCGGGCGATTGACGTTCGGCAGTTTCTGAAATAGCTTGGGAGATAGCATGAGTAAAGAACATGAAATGATATGACTATACCTACAAGGTATGGGTGCCTCTGGTACAACCAAAGTGGCCGGATCAGGCTCCGGAGTCAATTCATTCACTGGGGAAATGCCATGAAAGGTGAACATGAAATAGAAAGAATGACCTCACCAGCCATAGGAAAATTGGGTACATCCGGAGCATCAGACAAAATCAAGGTATCCTCTGGACCAAGATACAAGTCTGGGTCATCATACAGGGCCAGTCCATCTGCCAGAGCCAGAGATGATGGATCTGGAAGTATGTCATGAATTTACACATGCGGAATATGTCCATTTGAATTGGAAAACTTACCGGGAATCACATTCAACACATCCAAACCACCGGACGACCCAGAATCAGAGTCTAACTCATCATCCGGCCCAAGGTATATATCATCTAATGGATCTAAACCATGTCAGATCAATTGACTGAAATCAGAAAAAACAAAACATACCAAGGGACATCTGGGACTGGGAGGACTCATCCACATCCATTGAAGTGAATTCAGTGACCGGAGGGTCATGAAATCTGACCCCAGGTTGAGAACTCATGATATCTGATGAGCTGATGAACTGATGAACTGATTGATAACTGATAACGTCGAAGTTCAACAGATGGCCGGCGATTGCTGAAAGTTGAACCATGACCAAACAAACACAAACAATGAACAATTTTCAACATCATCCTTCAATTGTATTGTTTCTTTGAAACTTCATTCTAGTGATAACAGATTTCACCCTGCTTTCAACATTCTCACATCTCTCAACTCAATCCAAATGTCTACTCAAGTTGAATCTTCCTTGGCCGACCTCAAGGCATCCACTGCTCAACTTATGGGCATCATTGCCAGCGCCTGGCACATCCCGGCCGGCTCAGTGGACGTCCACCTTGCTCTGACAAAGCAGGTCACCACTCTTTTGGTATGTTGAACTCATTACATCCCCAGTCACCTCGGTCACCCGGTTCCCCCAAGAAGCAATCATTTGGGCCTGCTTCGGTAAGTCTGATTTATCTGTTTGGACCTTAAATATATGCTCATGTGTCCACAGCTGACTGCTGGCAGTCGTCCAGAGGTCACGGTGAGTCGTTCGGACATATCCAGACCTCCCATGTATAATTGTCACTCATTCCCATTACATTAGAAATCTCCCATCGGTCGTCCGGAGGCTCGGGTAAGTCTTAGAAGCTCTCCAGAAACTCATATGTGTATTAACAATCCGTCAGGCAACCTCCAGCAGTCGGCCGGAAGTCGAGGAGCCCTCTGAAGATACTTCCAATGCTTCGAATGGTGACCCACCAGCCAATATTACATTTGATATCACCATTCCCGGCCCAGTGAGTACTCCAATTTATTCCCCTTCCTCCATCTACTAACGGATACCACAGAACAACCCCTGCCATTATTGTGTCAAGGAGAATTGGCCCTGTGCGACTCGTTTGGACAAGAGGACCAGTCTCCCCTGCTTGTCTTGCATCCGCTGCTCCACCAAGAAGATCAAATGCAACCCTGCATCTCTGGGATCCCCACCCAAACAGATCTGAGGGAAGTCTACCACTGGCCGGATGCGTTCCAAGACACCTGCCCCTGCTCCATCCAATGCTCCGTCTCCCTCCCGGTCAAGGGCCAGAACTCGTAGTCAATCTCGTGGCCCGTCCCAACCTCCGGCCATCCCTGCTGCAACTACACCCCAGGTGCAGTCACGTAGTCGCAGCAAGACCATCACTACCAAGAAGACACCTGCACCTGCACCTGCATCTGCAGCTGAAGCTACACCTGTCCCTGCACCTGCACCTGCATCTGCAGCTGCAGCTATACCTGTCCCTGCACCTGCACCTGCACCTGCAGCTGCAGCTACACCTGTCCCTGCATCTGCACCTGCATCTGCATCTGCAGCTGCACCTGTCCCTGCACCTGTGCCAGCTGGTAAGTCACCCATACTTTTGATGACCGGCTGACCTAATTTTTTACTTAGCAGTCAGGTCTTCCAGCATTGCAGTGCCTCGTGCAGCACTCAATGTTCCCATGCCGGATCTCCATTCCATGGCAATCGCGATTCGGGATGGTGCAGCTCGCATCGCGATTCTTGAGGCTCAGGTGCAGGAGCAGGACACTAAGATTGATACCCTGCAATGCCTCCATGAGAGCCTCCGGCGCACAGTAATCGACCGGCACCCTTCATTTTCACTTCCGGACACACCGGCCGATGGATTAATGTTGCTTGATCAAGGAGGTCCCCCCCATCCATGTCACCCCTCCCCTCCGCACTTTCCAACCTCATTGATTTGGACTTTTCAGTGATGGAACCCACACCCGTGACACCTGAGCATGGATCTGCTATGGTAGGTCCCATGGTTGAGCCCACCCAAGTTCAGCCTGAGGGTCCACAATCCTCCGGCGAAATTGTGCTCCCAGATGAACCAGGCAACCTCTCGCCAGAATCCTCCGGCGATATTGTGGTCCCTAATGAACCAGGTAACCTCCTGCCAGAATATGCTTTCTCTGATGAGGAGATGGATGTCGAGGGAAAGGTTGATCTTCCTGGTGAGGAGGTTGAAATGGCTACATAATTGCTCAGTGATAGATGTACATCAATCTTTTTCAATGCATGTTACCTATGCCACAATTGAATGGTTCAATGATCACTCCCGATATCCAGAACTCAAAACTATAGATTGAGGTAGATATCACCTGAAACCCAAACACCTGAATGTCAAATTCTCAGTGCCGAACCCCGAGTCCCGGGTGCCGGGTGCCAAGTCCCGAAATTCAGAACTCAGGATTTGACATTTGAGATGAACGACATCTTTCAGACAATGTTTAAATCAACCTACATATATCTGTAAACATTTTACTAACCCCCAAACCCCAAACCGAGATGTACCAACCCCCGAATCCTGAAACCCAAGACTGCCGGGTCTCGGGTTTCGGGGTTCGGGGGTCCCGGAACTCGGAACTCGGGAAATTTGGGGAGATCAATAAAATTTGATTTACAATCGAGTTTATTGACAAACACATTGACTTACCCATGTTTGAAATATATTTTGTTTACACATACCGAGTTCCGAGTTCTGGACCCCCGAACCCCAAGACTGCCGGGTCTTGGGTTTTGGGGTTCGGGGGTCCGGAACTTGGAACTCGGTATGTGTAAACAAAATATATTTCAAACATGGGTAAGTCAATGTGTTTGTCAATAAACTCGATTGTAAATCAAATTTTATTGATCTCCCCAAATTTCCTGAGTTCCGAGTTCCGGGACCCCCAAACCCCAAACCCTGAGACCCGGCAGTCTCGGGTTTCGGGATTTGGGGGTTGGTACATCTCGGTTTGGGGTTTGGCACTGAAAATTTGACATATATATTTTTGTGAGTGTTTTGCTTCTGGTGTCCATGCTTATAAATAGGATATGTTGCACACCAGGGTTCAGGTGTGGGGTTTTTCCACTTCAGTCCTCGATTATTGGTCAATGCCACACATGGTTGATTCATGTTTTTGTGCTTAGGGGTTTAGATTTGGTGGTCGACGGTAGGTATATGCACTCATAGTGTACATGTATCCTACGTGTTTGATTCACTGGTGGCTACATCAGCTGTATGTCTTGATGGAACATATCTAGGCTCACCCATATATGTACCCATCTATGTACAATTCCCCCACGTCAGCCCACCCATCTATGCATTATCCCCCACCTTGGCCCACCCATCTATGTAATACATCCTATGTTGGCCCACCCATGTATATAATTATACCCCACCTCGGCCCACCTGTCTATGTAATAAATATTTTATCGCACCCTCAGCCCACCCGTCTATTTGATATCCCTTTCGTCGGCCCACCCGTATATGTAATACTTTTCACGTTGGCCCACTTGTATATGTAATACACCCCACGTCAGCCCACCCATCTATGTAATATTCCCCTACCTCGGCCCACCCATATATGTAATACACCCCCGTCGGCCCGCCCGTCTATATAACAATATTTGCCTTACATCTCTCTTCAGCCCAGCTGTCTATAATATCCTACTCTACATATTACCCAGATGGGCCCACCCATCTCCATGAATGATCATATTCCCCCGGCCCATCCGTCAACATCAAGGATATATATATCATTGGCATACATGGGCCCACCCATCTCCATCGGAAATAATATGTGTCCCGGCCCATCCATCATCATCGAGAATATACACAACATGGGCCCATGATCCGCTGGCCCGTCTCATATGGGATATTATGGAGGTCGGGTGGCCCGTATAATACAGAATTTGTCACTGAAGGGGCTCAGAACAAGGGATTAAGAGGCTGTAAGGGTTCCACGGTACTGACGTCTGCATGTGAGGTGTTAGGAACATTTGTAGTAGCCGATGAAGTATATGGTGGGGGTGCAACCTAGATGCGAACGGTCAACATGAATAGATAAAATACAACTATACATCAGACCTTTGGATGACAGCCTCGGCCCTTGCCACGAGGTGGTTCTGGAGCCCAAGGGTGGACAGGAACAGTAGAATCAAGGGATGTAGAGCCCTTAGGTCAGTGTACCCGAGACAGAGCTTCTAACAATGCGCTGATCTTCTCCAATTGAGCATTCCTACCTCCTGTTCCTGCATTGGCGTGGCCAGAACGTCTACCAGGTTCATCAGTGCTTGTTTTATCCAGACAGAGTGACACAAGTGGCGTGCCGGATGTCTCGACAGGTTCTGCTGCTCAAGGCTTAGACACCTCCAAACCTTTGCGCTTGGCCCATTTCTTCTTGGGGCTGGCAAGAATGCGAGGAGGCATGATGAGCTACAGAAAATTTGAGCAGAGAGAGGAATGACTGATGAGTAAATCCAGACTCACCAGATATTTTATATAACGACACCTCGAGGTCGAAAGGAATCGTGGGTTTTCCCTAAGCAAATGACACAGTATGAAACGATTTGTCTTGAAAAATCGTGCATTTTCTATGTGAGTACGTGAGGAGAGATACGTCCCCAACTGCTGCATGCCTACTAAGTGAGTGATCTGTGAGATTGACTCGAGTCAGAGCTAGTATTTAGTATCAAGCCCTTGAAGAACGAGTAGTAGCCATCTCCCAGCTGAAACTCACCGTATTTTCTACCTCCTGGCACGTCAGCCTCCGAACCAGTATTTGATACCCCCGCTCATGATGCCTTCCTAGGTTGAACTCCAAGAGAAATTGCTTCTTTCTGCTGCATGTTTTTGATTTCATCAAAACTCGGATCAATTCAAGGCGAACTTGAAGAGTAATAAAAAGATAGGTGAGTGACAGTGTACTGGCTTGTATGGGATGAAGAGAGATACATGATTAATGAATACATGACATGTGTAAGGAAACATGGGTAAAGAAACATGGGTATTGATACAAAACTGCTAAGGGAACACTTGAAAAGGAAAGTACAATCGCTCGGCTACTAACATAGGTCAATCTGGCAGGTCATAGTAAATTAAGTCGTCATCTTCCACCATTGCCCCAGACACTGAGCCATCTGAGTCACTCGCCGAGTCAGCTGCCTCCCACCTCTTCCGCTTGGCCAATTGTGGCGAAGAAATACTAGTAGTAGACAAGTCCGTTTCTGCAACCTGCTTTTCCATACAGCGAGTGAACTCTTTAGCAGATTTCCTAAGATTCTCATTGATGGATACGTGCTCCTCGTCATCTTGAAGGGTGGCAAGATGACATTCTAATAAATTAATAACGCTGTCAAAAGTGATCCTTGTCTCCATGTTGTCCCTCAAGATCGCCCACCACTCTCACATCAGGGTGAACAATATTTAAAAGAGGTTTATATGTTGTACAAAATGTGAAAACAATATTTGATATTTAAACTAACATAAAGATGGGTGCACGACTTCAAATTTTGGTGGTGTTTTGTGTGTAATTCAAAATATCAAATATTCACAACCATATTCCCACAGACAATATGTCAACAAATATAAGAAATATAATCAGATTTTCCATGTCTGCTTCAATTTAAAGTTTGATTCTTACATAAAACTTTGGAGAAAACTTGAAGTTTTGCCAAAGCTTGACATTTAAATCAAGTTTTAATGTCATGTCATCTGTAAAACTTCAAGTTTTCTCCAAAGTTTTACATGGAAATTGAACTTTAAGTTGAAGCAGACATGAAAAATCTGATTATATTTCTTATGTTTGTTGACATATTGTCTGTGGGAATATGGTTGTGAATATTTGATATTTTGAATTACACACAAAACACCACCAAAATTTGAAGTTGTGCACCCATCTTTATGTTAGTTTAAATATTAAATATTGTCTTCACATTTTGTACAACATATAAACCTCTTTTAAATATTGTTCACCCCGATGTGTCTTTCACAAGGGGGATAAGTTTTGCGAAGTATGGGTGGATCTGTCTTTCGAGACAGGCCTCCTCTGATGAAACTGCAAAAAAGTAGACCTTCCTCAATTTGCAGTCATCCAGGTTGAGAGTCGACCAGCTATCCAGCAACGAGTTGTGTATAGACTCTTTGCACTCCTTGCCGTTAGGACCACTGTACTTGATACAAATATAGGTGAAGACGTAAAAAAGGGACTTGAGGTCATCCCCAAAGCTCTGAGAGACACGAGATGGCGGCAGTGCCAAAGTTTTGGAAGAGGATTTCTGCGCTTCTTGCAGTGTTGCCTTGCCCTGCAATTCCGCCATTTGGGCAAGAAGTGCACGTGACATGAAAGGGATTGTGCCCTAATAAACCAGTTAACAAAATTTTATGCGTTCAAGGGAGATATACTTACTGTACCGCCAATAGTATATTCATCATTCGAAGCAATGAATACAGCAAATTCCCAATCAATTAATAGCCCCCTGCTATCATTGGGCTCCCCCATAATCATCACATTGTAAAGATTACAGTCACGATGCAAAATGCCACACTCTACTGCCATGCGTTGGACTAAAATACAAAAATCAACACAAGACTCATGTACAATTAACTAAAGCTCACCGATAGTGATGTCCCTAATCACCCTCACAAGTTCCTTCAGCATTTGAAATGCATGAAGGGGGTGAGCACAGGGCTTCATGACGAGGTGAATGTGTGTACGATGGGTACCTCGAATACTCGGATTTTCTGTGTGGCGATAATCCCGTGTGTTGTCAACAATGTTGTCTGACTTTTTGACCAGCCAGTAATCTACTAGCTGTGGAACACCAGGAATGCCGCTCATCGCTTCTAGCATGTTGATCTCATTTAAGATTTTATCCTCACCACCCTGAACCCAGTGGTCTTTAATAATATATTCTTCTCCGTCAAGACTAACCAGGTAACAGACAGTTCCGCGACCAACGAGGCCCTTGGTGATGAAAAGGATCCTCAGCATAGTGTGGATCTTGTCCTTGACACAGATCTGGCTACAGGGTTCTGCAGGCAATTGAGGAGTGTGGGGGAAATGGGAAGGATGAGGGGTAGAACTTAAGGTGGCATCAGGCCCCTGGGGAGGAGACCGAGATGCAAGGGCCAACAAGAGAGCACTGGTGATCGCAAGGGGTTGAAGCGGAATATGCAAAGGAGGAGGGAGAGCAGGGGAAGGAGGGCAAACAGGAAGCTCTTCTATCGGGTCTCCAAGAGACTCAAGATCGTCATTGGATGTTAACTTGGGAGCATAGTCAGCGGGGGGTATTGGCTCGAGGTCATCTTGGGAGGGGAGTATTGAGTCGGCCACATAATTGGCGGGCAGTTCCTGGGGATCCTCGTGCAATGCAGCAAGAGACTCACTGTCATGTTCGGCAGGAGTGGTAACACTCCGAGTAGTTCGAGCAGGAAAGTTCTTGAATGGGCGATAATCAGGTATGACTGTACCTGGGGGTTGGGGAAGTGCAACACTTTTCCAGAAGGTGACCGTAGAATCATACCCGATACATTCTGGGCTGCCAAATACAACAGCAGCAATGATTTCAGTGAACGCGTTCGGATTCTGATGGATTTTGATATGAGGGGTCACAACACCACCAGCATGGTCATACAACAAGACCCTGAGTTCGTGATATTGGTGTGTGAATGACAGTATGAGTGCGAAACGTCTCCAGGGCTGGTTGCTGAGAAGTAAGTATGCCTGAGTATCAGCAGCCTTCACAATCCGCTGTGCAGGCTTATACTGGCTATATGTCAGCTCAGCGCATATGCGAATATTGCCCCACTTGGGCTTGATCTCATCAGATAGCACAAGATCAGGCTTGCACTTGATATCGCTACTGGACACTGCAACCGTAGAATTGCTTGCACTCCATGTGCGAGCTGCAGATAGTGTAATCAGCTTGTTTTCTGATTCCACATATTACAGTGACCTATCTCCATATAATACGAGGGAACGGACGTGCATAATATCCTGTATGATATGGGCCAGCGGACCATGGGCCCAGGATAAAAATATCCTCGACTATGACAGATGGGCTGGGAGGCAAATTATTCCCGATGGAGGCGGGTGGGCCCATGCAGGGAATATATAGAGTAGATGAGTGGGCCGATGTACATGAATATTAGGTAGACGGGTGGGCCGAGGTAGTTGGATATTATGCAGATGGGCATATTAAGGTAGATGTGTATGAGATAGATGGGTAGGTACTTGTTATCAACTTCACAGGTGGGCCCAGACACATATTAAATTAGATGGGTGGGCTGAGGGTATTATAAAATATTGTATTAGATGGGTGGGCTGAGGATGTTGTATTAGACGGGTGGGCTGAGAGTGGTATAAAATATAGATGAGTGGGCCCATGTGTATCATAATTGTAGACATGATGGAGCTGAGGTAGTTGTACATCAACCAAATCAGAGGAGGTAATAAATCAAAGTTACCAAATTCCCAGAGCAGCAGGTGATCTCCTGATATGGCCTTTGATGGTGCACAGGTTGTCTTGCAAATTTTGGAATCTGGTGTAGTAGGGTGCATGTGCCTCAGGAGCACTTCTGGTTTGGGGAGTCAGTGGGTTTGGCCGGTTCAGAGCCTTTAGAAGGCACTTAAGAGTAGCACCGCTTGTAGAGTAGCTTTCAGGTTTTCACATCTTGTTCAGACCAAGTGTCGATGCTGCGCCTCTCCACCTGGTGACTAGAGCGACCATTCACCACGGCCATTACTTTAGATGACCTCTGTCACATTTGAAACATCCAACATACGAAAAGCCCACCAGCGCTTAGGTGCATGGCTTCAGACGAAAATTTTCCCCACCTTTCACTCCACCCAAATTCTTCTGTGACCTTGCCATTTCAACACCTAAGAAGCTTGCACACTGTGACTCGCAAAATCTATGATTCATTCAACAAAGAGCAGCTCTAAGCAGAGCGGTCCCATCTCTTTTGCAGCAACCACAAGTCATCTTAGTCCCAACCTCTCCACCAGCTATAGCAACTAGCACTTCGATGATAACTCCGCAACCAAGCTTCCATGGAGATTACGAAAAAGATGAAGAACCCATGGACTGGCTTAGAAAATATCAACTATCCTTACCAGCATCATACTTAGACAAGGCCAAGATCGACCATTTCGAACTTCAATGCGCTGCAGCTAGTCCTGCCAAAGAATGATTTGTAAACTTATCAGCGTCGGACAAGTCGACCTGGGCAACATTTCTAGCAGCCTTCAAGACACGTTGGCCCCCACCAGTACATGCAAAACTTACGGCAGTGCAGAAGAAAGAACACCTCAAGTCAATAGTCCTTAAGGAAAAAGACATTGGAGTGATGATCGAGAAGGACAGAGGGAGAGACTGGGGTCATGTGAAGTGGGCCAAGCAGGTCACGCAGATGGTGTTGGGGTTTGGAGACGTGCAATGTCATTTTTTGGACGTAGTGTTGGAAAACACACCAGAAGTCTTGCGAGATTTCCTCGCAGATCAGTACACTACATGGGCAGAGTTCGAGGCAGACATCACCAAAATGTCAGCGTCTCAGCTCATATGAGCTAAACAACGGATGGTAAATGAACGGAAACTCAGAGAGGATGTCGACAGATTGCAGTCGACGACGGGCCGTAAACAAACAGGGCCAACGCCCCAATCCACACAGTCCACGTTCGCTTTACCACCCGCATATTGACCTCGTTATATGGCTAACACAGCAAACCAAGCCCAGGTAGCACCGCAAAACTCGCAACCCACACAACCACCCCCACCTATAACACCTGCACAAATCCCTCAGACACCACAGAATCCATTCACCATGACAACGCCATTGCCCAGAACCAACCTATTCTACGGATATAGAGGAGGATTCCCCCAAACACTGTCATGAGGAAGAGGAGCCTCGGGGGTCGATCATATGCGAGCTGCAGCACAGTTTGCAGTGCTGATGCATCACCCAGATTCAGAGGCAGGAAGGCAGGCGTATAGTCAGCAAGTACAAGATTGGCATGTGCAGCACAGACAAGAAGCCACCCCCAACACCACGAAGCCATACTTGTTAAAACCGGGAACGTCACCTCTTGGCTCGAGAGAATGTTTCAACTATGGGCTGGCAACGTCGCCAAGCCATCAAGCACATGAGTGCCAGAATATGGCAGTTCCTCAGCAGGAAGGATGCTGGAGGGAAATGGTGTCCTGTCTAGTAACACGCTCACTCGCACTGTTACAAGTAACATCGGCTACATGGCCCCCCTATCATTTTTCCCCTTCATCCTCGCCCTCGTACTTCTCTGCCGACTATCCGTCAACCGGATCCTCGGGACCGTTCCCATCCCTCATCTCCCTCTTATCGCACCAATGTGCGCACGTGCCCTCAGGCTATGACTCGTTCTGACTCATGCCACCAATGTGGCTTTCCTTATCTTGTCTTATCTTTCCTTTGACTCATGCGTGCTGCGCATTGTATCACTTACCGTTGGCTCGTTCCAACGTTTCTCGGTCTCATTCCGCATTTGACCTCACACCACTAATCAGGCTCTGCTGCCAGCGTACCTATACCCTTTCTGTTTCCCCTTTGCCCTTACCTACAGTATGGTAGCCTTGCCCTTAACCCTTTCCACTTAGTATAAGTAGTCGGTCACCCTGTACTAGATTCCCTAACTTGAATCTACTCAATCTTCCCTGGAACATACTTCCCTCTGAAGCCCCCTCAGCTTCAGTCTCTAGTATCTTTTCTTAGGTGCTCCTCGCGCCTAAGTCTACCTCGATCGACTACTCATCGTTCGGACAAGACTGTCCTTACTTTGAGAATGTCAGTGACCTCGAAGACATCCGTCTTAGAAGTCACATGACACGCGCGTCTCTGATATCTGTCGACTCGTCGTCGCCAGTCTCAGTCGCTACACCGGACCCTTCCGGTTATGTCACGAACGTTAGCGGACGACACCCCTCTTAGGGCTCCGCATAACAGATCTATTTGAGTGCGTAACATGCACCTCCACAGACCCCGTCAAGCGTTCAGTTTGTAACACCTATGCAAAATCAGATGCAGCACCAGTTCTACCCATCCTATTTCGTACAAGGACCTTGGCCCGCCTATGATCAGTTCGACCCATCGGGAAATGGGTACGGACTGCAACAGTAGGGGACTTCCCTGCGGTCCACATCGAGAACCAAGCATCAAACATTTCACCTGAGTCTGACGACCAGCAGATGTCTTGCAAAGTCCCTGTGTCCCCCAATCTCTCTGAACAATCATCCAGCCTACCATCCACAGTACCATCGTCAGCCTGGCCCTCCAGCCTTGGTTCGTCCCTCATCAATACACCAGAAGCGTCCCCACCAGCAGAACTGGTGACAGAAAATGCCAATGATGAATTGGAAAATGACGACTTGGTCGTTCCCATGTTAGAAATCACTTCACCGGCCAGTACTTTGCCTTTACCTGACTCACCTTCTATTATTTCTCTTCCTGATTCTTCCGATAATGTTTTTTCATCTGATGACTTACTCGATTCTATGTTGGACTCTGATACATCAACGCTCCCCTTCACCGTACTTGACGATGTGGATACAACACCAAACATAGATTCTGTTATGAACACTAACATTACGCTGAGTGACATGTCTATTCCAGAGTCAATAGACACCACTGACTCCTACCCAAGTGTGACTAAGTTAAATGTGATCGACTTACATGCAATCTTGAAGGATGTTGAGGACGCTACAGAAAGCATGCCATTCACGACGCAAGTCATCTTGTACGGACCAGGAGGGAAAATGTCATGTTTCCAGGCGGACGTAGATGATGGAGCCATGGTAAATGTTACGGATCTTAAAACTTTCAGGAAAGCGAGCCACAACCTTAAGAAGCTGATTAGATCAAATAGAAGCCTTCGCATGGCCAACAGATCAATTGTGCCGTCTCAAGGAGTATGGCAAGGAATGTTCCAGTGGAACAAAGTCAAAATCTGCACTTCCTTCGAAATATTCGATAGTGGCGGAGTTTGGTCGATGTTGATCGGTAAGCCACTGCTCGAACAGCTGGGAGCAATCCACGATTACACCCAAGACACCATCATCATCCTGCATCACCCCACACCTGTCGTCATATGCAACATCCATGGAACAACAGCAGCTCCGATCCCAAAAAGTCGAAACTAACTGTAAATAATGCAGCTTCAACAGCGCAGAAACCTGTACATAGTAACATTGACCATTCTCATTTAGACTCAATTCTTGTCATTTCTATACCACCAGATACCAATACTAATTCCACTTCACAGAAAAATCTCAAAAGACCAATTGCAACGATGGAACATTATGTATTCAAGATTGATCCTCAAGTAACAAAAGACCAGCTAGAAGACCATTCAGAAGGCCTCGCACAAGCCGGAGCACACGTGGTGCAAGCAGATCAACGACCAGTCATCTCAGTAGTAACCGAACAGTCGCCGCCATCACCATGCTCACCCACTTCATTCACAGCAGCAGACATAGAGAATGAAAATGACGCCAGCACTCCAGCATGGCCGATTTTCAGTCAAACCGAAGACACCGAAGATGCCAATATAGGAGAAGTACCTGAGTTCCCGACAACCACAGCTGCACCCAGCATCTACTCAAGACACACCAATCTGTTCAATCCAGCACACGTAGCAGAAATCATGCGAGTAATAAAGATAGGCGATGATCTCTCACCAAATCAGAAGACGCAGGTACGTGATCTCTGCGAGGAATTTGCTGACATGTTTGCTCTCAGTGTCAGCAAGGTCTATCCGGTCGACTTCAAAATGTTCAAGCTGCATTTCCCGGAAGGAACCAAATTCAAGACCAAAGTTAACCAGCGACCATTAACGCCGCCTCAAAGGGAGTTCCTGTACGAGCGTCTCAACGAACTCGAGAAGGCAGGCATCATCCAAAGAATCGAACCAGAGGATGTCAGGGCAGCAAGTCTGACAGTACTAGCCCAAAAGGCTCATGGCTCAGAAGGACTACCAATAGAAGAACTCCTACATCGGATCAACGAACAATGCAGTGCCCACCGACTACCAACGCGAGACAATCTCCTGCCACGTCCTCCACTCGATAACAAC